AGACTGAAGCTCAATATCAAGAAAACAAAGATTCTCACCATCGGACCATTGACAGTATCGTGATAGATGGTAGAGATTGAGTTTGTTAACAGCTTTAGTTTACTTGGTGCCACAATCAACACTCTTGGAACCAGCAACCAAGAAATCAAAAAACAAAGTGCATTGTAAAAGTCTACCATCAGATACATCTCTAGAATACTGAAGAGCAATGATGTCATTCTGAAGACTAAGATGTACCTGATATAGGCCATGGTCTTTGCAATCGCTTGTTATGCATCAGAGAGTTGGACAATGACTAGGGAGGACAGAAGGAGAATTGATGCTTCTGAGCTATGGTGCTGGAGAAGAGTATTGAATATACCATGGACTGCTAGCAGAACAGGTTCACCTTAGAGAGAGTGAAACCAGTCTGCTCCTTGGAGGCAAGGATTCTCAAGCTCCGTCTGACATACTTTGGTCATGCTGCAAGGAGGAACCAGTCCTTGGAGAGGGGCATCATGCTTGGGAGGGTGGAGGGATAGTGCAGGAGAGGAAGACTCCCGATGAAATGGATTGACTCACTGTCCAGGGGAGAGCAAGTGTGTCAGTGATAATAAGGTTGGCATAGGATAAAGCAGGGTCCAGAGCTCTTGTTCACAGGGTTGCGATGAGTCGCAGGTGACTTAACGGCACACAACAACAACATTTCCCAGAAAAAGAAAATATAATAAATCATAAAAATATTAAATTAAATTGAACTGTAAAAGAAGGGTTTTAATTCAGATACTGATATCATACTGAATAAAATTTATATCAACGTAACTCTTTCAATTGAAAAATAGTTTGTAAATTTTTTCTGTTTTAGTAATTAATTTCTTGGGAATACTTTGCTACTTTTGTTAAAAGTATGACTTGAATAGTTTTATGACACGCATTAAATCCACAGAAATTTAGGCAGCTCCAAAAAACATTCATCAAGAAACTCTGGTACCTGTTTTTATTGCAATCTGATGCTTATATAAATGTGATATGCCCGTAATTTTTATAACACCTACACATGAAAAATTTCCTAGCCATGACTGGAAAGGTATAAACCACTACCCTTCCTGTCTTAAGTTTACATTCTAATAGGTGCAACTGAAGAGTGATTACAGAATAAACGGTAACTCAATGTTGTCTAGGCATTTGATTATTAACAGTGTTTTTATATTTGTTCTCTCGTCAATGTGCATACTCAATAAATATCTTTATCAGAGTCCTTTGTTAGGATTGCATCATTATTTCCAAATTTCTCGGACTCTGATGAGTATTGTCTTTCCATTAGATAGCTGCACAGAAGACATAAGGAAGCACAGAGTTTAGGTGCGGTAAAATGAAAGCACATTCATTCTTTGCTTTGCAATATCAGTGCTTAACCTTTGTCTGTTTACTCTCAGGCAGATTCTGCAATTCTGAGAACTGAATTTCACAAAAGAAGCTTCCTAGTTACTGTTCTGAATTGTCTGACATTCATTCCCTGCTTTTAGAAAACAACTTCACATTTAGTTATCCAAAGAGAACTCCATTCTTGATATTAACGTTGTCCTGCTGGGTCACACTGCCATTTATGCCAGGCCAGGTGTTCTAACAACAGTACATGTAGCTGTCCCATCTTTAGAGACACTGTGTCTACCATTGTTGTTGTTCTATGCATTGTTGGGTCAGAACCTCCAGCGGATTTTCAGAGGCAGTAAATCACATAGAAGAGGAAAGCCCATTGTTTTCCCCCACAGAGCAACTAGTGGATTCAAACTGTATGTGTTTTGGTTGGTAGTACGACTACTTACGAGTAAACCAACAGAACTCCCTGTGTCTGCCATATAAACAGACAATTGGAAATCTTGTTTATTACATATTCCCCATATAATGATCTACACGTTCGAACAGAGGAGCTATGGTAGCCTACTAGTAAGAAGTTGTGTTGCAACTCCAAAGGCAAGTGGTTCAAATCCACCAGCTGCTCTGTGGGAGAAGGATAGGCGATTTCCGCCAAAGTGATTTACTGTCTCTGAAAAACCACTGAAGGGTCAGCTATGAGTGGGTTCAGACTTGATGACACACAAAAACAATACCACAGTCAAATGTTTTTGCATATTCAATAACAAGCAAGTAAAAAAAAAATTCTAGTATTCTTTGCTTTCAGCCAAGATCCATCTATTTTCAGCAATAATATCCTTCATTCCACAGCCTCATCTAAATCCAACTTGAATTTCTGTAAAACCCCTGTTGATATACTGTCCCAGTAATTTTTAATAATCTTCAGCAAGACTTTACTTGCATGTTATAATAATGATATTATTTAATAATTTTAACACTCTGTTGAATCACTTTTTTTTTTAATGGGGACAAAATAAGGATCTCTCCAAATATTGGCCAAATATGTCTTCCAAATTTCTTGGCATAGGCTGGTGAGGACATCTATGGCTGCATCTGTTGGTGAAACACTTCAACTGGTATTCCATTAATTCTTGGGGGATTAATTTTTTCCCAATGCTTTTAATGCTGATTAAACTTTTTCCTTCTTTACCACTGGTGCTTGATCCTGTGCTATTTCCTGAAATGGTACAGTATCAACCAATTCGTTTTGGTATAGTGATTCTATGTATTCCTTCCATCATCTTCTGACGCTTCCTTTATCATTCAAAATTTTGCCCATATAACAGAATTGAGAACCCAGAAATAGATCTATCTACAGTTAACTGATATTCAACAAGGATATAAAACCTATCAAATGGGGAAAGGACAAACTCGTCAATAAATGATGTTAGCAAAACTAGACTGCTACCTTCAGAAAGCTGAAACAGGATCCACGTCTCACACCACACACAAAAATCAACTCAAGGTGGTTCAGAGACCTGAGAATAAAGCCCCAAATCATAAAGTACATAAGAGACAAACTGAGACTATATGGTATAAAGAGACTGCCAAACACAGCCAGAAAGGCACAATCTGGAGAGGATAAAATTGATGAATGAACCTTCTAAATATTACATTTCTGTGCTCATCAAAAATTTTTCCCACCAGGGTGAAAAGAAAACCTACTGACTAGGAACAAACATTTGGCAATACCATCTCAGACAAGCATCTCATAAAGAAAGTTTGAAGAATTCTCTTGGGCCTCCAGAAGAAAAGGACTGACAATCCAATTACAAAATGAGCAAGAGACATGGAAAGACTTTTTGCAGAGGAGGGTCAACAGACACATGAAGAAATGCTCAGTTACTAGAAACAGGAGAGATGCAAAGCAAAACCACAATGAGATACCATCTAACCCCTGCAGCAGTGACAAAGTTTAACAGGACAACAAGTAATAAATGTTGAAGAGGACGGGCGAGATAGGAACTAATACATTGTTGGTGGAATTGTAAAATGGTAAAGCCACTATGGAAAGCAGTTTGGTATTTTCTCAAAAAGCTTGAACCTAAAAATTCCATATGACCCAGCTATTCCACTGCTTAGAATATACCCGGAGAAAATGAGAACTGAGGCACAAATGGAGACTTGTACACCAATGTTCATAGCAGTGTAACTCATCATCACAAGAACATGGAAACAGCCCAACCACAATGGAAAGGCTTGAGAAATTATGGTATATCCACACAATGTAATACTATGCAGCACACAGGAGAAATGATTTTGTAAACTGCTTCCTAACTTAGGAGGAACTGGAGAGCATTATGCTAAGTGAACTAACTCAGTCTCATAAATACAAATACTGTATAAGACTATTATTGTAGAATGAGTACGGGGATCCAAGGTGGGGAGGGGAAAGCAGAAGGGAGAGGATGGGCATGGGGGGAGGATTAATCACAGGGCCACACAACTTGATGGGTGGAGCGGGAGGGTAAAGGAAAGGGGAAAGATCTGAAGTGGAAAAGAATATATACGAAGTTTGTAAGTACTCCAGTAATTAAAGATAAAAACCAAAACAAAAATACCGTTGCCCATAGAACTCTTCAGTTTTGCCACTCGAGGTTTAAATTTGTTCTTAAGTCCTTTTAGCTTGAGAAATGTCAAGCTTGTTCTTCCCTTTCTGGTTTTCTAGCTCCCACTTTTTGCACATTTCATTAGAATACTTTGCTTTGTTTCTCAAGTTGCCCACTGAAGTCTTCTGCTGATCTCTCTCACTGCACGAGTTTTCCTCTTGTTTTGGCATGTTTCTGTCTCGTTCGGCATTCATTTTGATCTTTTCTTTCTTCCCTGTGTTTGTAATGAGCTTTTGCTTTCTTCAGAGAAGATGTTCTTGATGTCATCCCATGAATCATCTGTCTTAGAGAAACTGAAACCAGGTTGATCCTTGGAGGCAAGGATAATGAAACTTAATCTCACATTCTTCGGGGATGTTGTCAGGTGGGGCCAGTCCTTGGAAAAAAACATCTTGCTGGGAAAGGTGGAGGGTCAGAGAAAGAAAGAAAGACCCCTAACAAGATGGATTGACATGGGTGATTGTAACAATTGGCTAGAGCATAGCAGAGATGGTGATGACTCAGGAGAGGACAAGGATGTGATCTGTAGTTCAAAGGTCACTATGAGTCACAGCCAACTTGAAGGCACATAACAACAACTTCATGATTTGGTTTTTTCCATTGCTGAATACAAAGTTTAATTTCAAGACTCTGGGGAGCCTCTGTACCACTCCAGAGAGTCCTGGGGTGGTGCACAGTCTGCCTATGCTTGATGATTATGTTATTACTTATAAAGATTGATGGTTCAAACCCATCCAGTGTGGTGCAAAAGAAAGCAATCTGCCTTTTTCAAATTACCCAGTGGAGCACAGATCTACACTAGCACAGGAGAAATCCACTCAGTTGGCAATGGGTTTGGTCATATTCCAGAGCTCTCTGGCTACTAATAGTCCCTACTCAGTGGTTGTGGTTCCAAGTAATTGACCTAATTCTCCAGCTCATCCCTTCAATATGAGGGCAAGGAGTTGCACTGGGATAATCTCAGTCAGATGAACCCATTTTAGCACATAAACATACCGTTTCCTCCTTCTCCTTTCTCAGCTTCTCTTCTTGAACTTTACGTGTGATCTCGGGGTCAACCAGGGGTTCATCTGCTCTTTGCCTTTTCCACAACTTGGTGTCCAGATACCACGCTCCATATCTCATCTTTACCCACGGTTGTTTCTGAGGTTGCTAGAGGAAATAACAATTCACAATGTCATTAGTTCTTTTCATGCCTGTAAACCTAAAATTCAGCTCATGAAAGTAATATCATTATTTTCAATCTATGGTTGAAAAAGTTTTTTTATGAAGTTTAACTAACATTAGTTCTGATTTGCAAAGGTAATATGAGAAGTTTAAGAAAATAATGAGCAGTTAAGAGTTAGGCCTTTGGATTTAAACAAAACATAGGCCAAAAGCAGATTTCACTTAGTAGCCATGATTCTATGAAAAAAAACAAACAAAACTAGCTGTATAATTCTCCATCATTAAAATAAGAATAATTATCTATCCCACAGCATTATTGGTAAGATTAAAGGTGAACATGCATATATGCAAACCTCTACAACTAATACAAAAATCACATATTCACCCAAGGGTATTAATATCAACCAATGTTGTTGTTGTTTTTATGTGCCATCGAGTGGCTTGCGACTCATAGTGACCCTATGTACTCTAAACCCTGCTCTGTCCTGGGCCAATCTCACTGTCTCCGACACACTCATCCTGATTGCCCCAGTCACTGAATCAATCCATCTCCCAGAGGGCCTTCCCCTCCTGCGCCGTCCCTCCACCCTCCCAAGCATGATGTCTTTCTCCAAGGACCGGTCTCTCCTTACACCATGACCAAAGTATGTCAGACGAAGTCTCAGAATCCTTGCCTCCAAGGAGCAGCCCGGTTTAACCCTCTCCAGGCTGAATCTGTTTGTTTTCTTAGCAGTCCATGGTACCCTCAGCACTCTTCTCCAACACCAAAGCTCAAAAGCATCAATTCTCCTTCTATCCTCCCTGGTCATTGTTCAGCTCTCTGATGCATAACAAAGATTGCAAAGATCATGGCCTGTACCAGACACACCTTAGTCTCCAGAGACACACCATTGCTCTTAAGTACTTTAGAGAGGTCCCTAACAGCAGACTTTCCCATCACAATATGTCTTTTAATTTCCTGGCTGCTGGTGCCAAGAGTGTTGATTGTGGAGTCAAGCAGACTAAAGCTGTGAACAATCTCAATCTCTTCACCATCCATCCTGATGCTGCCAATTGATCCAGTGGTGAGAATCTTTGTCTTCTTGACATTGAGCCTCAATCCATATTGAAGGCTGCAGTCCTTGACTCTCTGCAGCAAGTTCTTCAGGTCCTCCTCAGTTTCAGCAAGCAGGGTTGTGTCATCTGCATAATGCAGATTGTTGATAGATCTTCCACCAATCCTGATGTCGCATTTCTCCTCATAGAACCCAGCCTCCTGGATGATCTGTTCTGCATACAGGTTGAAAAGGTATGGAGACAGGACACATCCTTGGTGTATGCCCTTCCCAATTTTGAACCATGCAGTGTTTCCTTGCTCTGTTCTGACAACTGCATCTTGGTCCAAGTATAAGTTTCACATTAGCATGATCAAGTGTTCTGGGATTCCCATTCTTCTCAGAGTCAGCCACAGTTTGTTATGGTCCACACAGTCAAATGCCTTTGCATAATCAATGAAGCACAGATATACATTCCTCTGGTACTTCCTGCTTTCAGCCAATATCTATCTAACATTAGCTATAATATCCCTAGTACCACGACCCTTTCTAAACCCAGCCTGGACTTCTGGCAATTCTCTGCTGATGTGCTGATCCAGGCGTTTTGGGATAATCTTCAGCAGAATCTTGCTTGCATGTGAAATCAATGATATTGTTCTATAGTTTCCACACTCTGTTGGGTCACCCTTCTTTGGAATAGGAACAAATATAGATCTCTTCCAGTCAGTTGGCCAAGTGGTTGTTCTCCAGATTTCTTGGCACAACTTGGTGAGCATGTCCAGGGCAGCATCTGTCAGCTGAAATATGTCAATTGGCATACCATCTATTCCTGGGGCCTAATTTTTTGCTATTTCCTTCAAAGCAGCCTGAACTCCTTCCTTCATCACCATAGGCTCTTGCTCATATGTTGTTTAATTAAATTCTTCTGTGTCTGCCAATTCCTTTCGATACAATGATTCCGTATATTCTTTCCATCTTCTTTTGATACCTCCTGGATCATTTAATATTCTTCCTAAAGCATCCTTGATTATAGCAACTCGAGGTTTGAATTTATTCTTCAGTTCCTTGAGCTTAAGAAATGCTGAGCAAGTTCGACCCTTTTGGTTTTCTGACTCCAACTCCTTACACATTTCATTGTAATATTTTACTTTGTCATCCCGCGCTGCCTTTTGAAATCTTCTGTTCAGCTCTTTAGTATCTTGAATTCTTCCTTGTGCTTTGGCTTCTCTGTGCTCCAGTGCAATCTTCAGAGTTTCTTCTGACATCAATTTTGGTCTTTTCTTCATCTTCTATCTTTGTAAAGAACGTTTGCACTTTTCCTGGATGATACCTTTGACATCCTCCCACAACTCATCTGGTCTTGGCTCATTAGTGTTCAAAGCCTCAAACCTGTTTTTGAGATGGTTCTGAAATTCAGGTGGGATAGACTCAAAGTTGTATTTTGGTTTCCACGGATTTGGTTTTATTTTCCTCAGCTTCAGCTGTAATCAATCCAAATAGGAAATTAGTAGACTCACTATGAGCACAACACTGTGTTCAGCCTCATCCATGGTTTTGACTAAAATGCTATTCCACAGCTCTCAAAAAAACTCACTTATGTTGGGGTAGAACCAACTCATAGCGGACCCTCCAACTGGTTTTCAGAGGCTATAATTTTCATGTGTTGTTGATTGCCATCGAGTCGAACATGATTCATAGTGACCCTATGAACAAAAGACCTGAAGCCTTTCGATAACGATCATCATTTCTCAAAGTTCCTAGAGTCTCCAGAGGCATGTTGTTTAGGATGCCACTCCTGTTTCCAAGTAAATTGCGTAAGAAGAGGAGGAGGAGACTACTCATCTTTCTCCCATAGGCAGCTGATGGATTTGAATCATCTGCCTTTTGGTTGGAAGAGCCACTGCTTACAGACTAGGTTACTAGACTATTTGAATACCAATTGCTTTAATGGACGAGAGAAAAACTAGAAAATACTCCTTTTTATCCCCTCCCATTCTTCTACAGGACAACAAAGATGTAAAGCAATCTCTTGCTGGTTCATAGTGGTGCAATATCCACCCATTGTCTCATTAAAAAGGGGGGCGTCTAACTTTTGGGTAAGGGAAGGAAACATGAAAGTAAAAAGACTCTGCCCATTTCTCCTCTTAACCAAACTTGAACTACGTAATAATATGTGTGGATACACTTGTCTAAAACAGAGACAGGTAACCAGGACAGCCACCCCCTCCCAGACCTGGAGTGAGTGCTGAGATGCCGCCACTCCATGCATACTGACCATCCACACTGTTTTGGCCTTGGCGCCTTTGCCTTCATTTTCTGTCACATGCTCTTCCCTGACATCCACTCTCTTCTTTCATTCACCTTTTCAGCGGTATCTTTGCACAATTTAAAACCCTGTAACCCCATAAAATTATGTCTTCCTTTCATAGCTCAATTTTTCTTGGTAGCATTTATCACTATTTGATACACTATGTAGTTTTCTATGTCTTCTCATATTATAAAATGCAACCATCAGGAGGTAAAGACTTTTGTTTGTTTCGTTCCTCACTATGTTGATGTTGTTGTTAAGTGCCAACAATTTGCTTGTGACTCCTAGGGACCCTAAGTACAACAACTCTGAACCCTGCTCTATCTTGAGCCAACCTCATCGTCTCTGATACATCTACCTGCGTTACTTCAGTCACTGAGTCAATCCATCTCAAAGAGCGTCTTCCATTCTTGTGCTGTCCCTCCACCCTTCCAAGCATGATGTCCCTCTCTCCAAGGACTGGTCCCTCCTTACAACATGCTCAAAGTATGTCAGATGAAATGTCAAAATCCTTGCCTCCAAGGAACAACCTGGTTTCACTTTCCCAGGACAAACCTGTTTGTTCTTCTAACAGCCCATGGTATATATTCAATACTCTTCTCCAGCACCACAGCTCAAAAACATCAATTCTCCTTCTATCAAACTTAGTCATTGTCCAGCTCTCTGATGTAAATCATGCAATTGCGAAGATCATGGCCTGGATCAGGTGTACATAGTCTCTGACTGACATCATTACTCCTCAGTACTGTGGAGAGGTCCCTAACAGCAGACTTTTCCAATGCAGCTCATCTTTTATTTCCTGACTGCTGGTACCAAGAGTGTTGATTGTGGAACAAGGAAGCTGACATGTTAATGGTCTCAATCTCTTCACTATCTATCATGTATGTATATATCCATCTGGTATCTAGGACCATAATAAGTGTTCAATAAATGTTTGTTGAGTTGAATCTGAGTTCTTAATCTTATGTCCCTGAGTGGCACAAATAGTTTGTGCCTGTCCACTAACTGAGAAGTCACTTGTTCAAACCTACCCAGTGGCAGGAACTGGAAGAAATGCTTGGTTGTTTGATTTGTATATATTACAGAGAAGGAAACCCTATTGGTCTCAGGTCTGCTCTGCAATACATGGGGTTGCCTTGAGTAAGAATTAACTTAATGGAAACAAGTTATGTTTTGTTTTTCTTGGCACTATTGAAATTTTGTCCTTCACAATTCTTGATGGTGAAGGACAATTCTTTGTTGTGAGGACCTGTCATGTGCAACTGTAGGATGTTTAGCAGCTTTCCTACTCTTTACTCATCGATCAAGAAATAAAAGATGTTAAATATTGTAGAGCATGTGGTGAGATAGGAACTCTCATACACTGTTGGTGGGATTGTAAAATGGTACAACCACTATTGAAGGCAGTTTGGCGCTTCCTCAGAAAGCTGAACATAGAAATTCCGTATAACCCAGCTATTCCGCTGCTTGGAATATACTCCAAGAAAATGAGAACTGAGGCACAAATGGAGACCTGTACACCAATGTTCCTAGTAGAGTTATTCATCATCACAAGAACATTGAAATACCTGCTATCCAACCACAATTGAAAGGAATGAGAAATTATGGTACATTCACACAATGGAATACACGTAGCACACATG